ACGGGCAGGACGTATAATTACGCGGCGCGTCCTCGATACCCCGGGGTGTCGTCGTTGCGCGACGTCGCGTCTCGCACCTTCCGCGGACTTCCGCGCGCAAAACTCCGCGACGAGTCGCGGAGAGCGCAAACACGCAGCGAGCAAAGCGCGACAAAACGCTCGTAATTGCATTCCGGAAGGGAGCGGCTTGAAAAGCGGCCGCGCGCACGCGTTCACGGTATCGTTTTGTGCCCCGGGTAATTGTTAATGCGCGATTCCAAACCGCACCGGGCGTTCACGCGCGCATAGACGTGCACGCGTTAATTATCGCTATGCCGATTCGAGCGCACGGCCGGCCAATTGCAGCGCGCGTGCATGGAGAAGAATGCACGGGCCTAGTAAATTACACTCGCCACCGTGCACATCTACCCTCCTCCCGCATTCCCGTCGTTCAACTCCCGTACTTTCGCTTCGATACAACCACCCTCACGTAAGTCCCACGTGGGCTCACTTTCGATGCTCTCGGTGAGAAACCGAGATAGTGAACTGGGATAGGGTGACCTGTCTAGTAATTGAACATCAGACTGAGAAGAAAAATCGATTGATTTAATCGATATTATTTTCACGTCTGACCATATTTTTGTAGTAAAATAGTGGTAGTAACGTGCGCATAAAGATATTATCACTGATATTATATTAGAATGTAATAAAATTATTTCTTTGACTATAATTTATAGTAATTATTTCTCTGTGTGACAAATATCAAACATTTTTTTCTCGGTCTACAGTGTTAATAGTTTGTACACTGAAAAAAAAATGAAGAAATAATTATCATAAATTATGGTCGCAAGAGAGAAATCATATTTTTATTAAATTTTACTATAATGTTACCGTATTACCGTTACCATTTTCGTGTTAGAACAACTCAAAAAATATGGTTAAGGCAGAAAATAATTATAATTTTAGTTAGAACAACCATTTTCCTCTCTCAGTGTTTATTATAATATTAAAATACGTGCATAGAAAAAAAAGATTTTACTGCCTCGGGTAACCATGATTTGCTCAAAATCATTTATTGCCGTAACTGAAACTTTCGCTAATATTACTGTTACATCGGTTTCATAGCTAAATAATGCCTACTGGCAGTATTTTTAGATAGAGTGCCCTGTCTAATAATTGAACATCGCCTAGTAAATGAATATACACATACATTGGATAATTTATTGCAATATTAAAATATGTGACTCATTCTATGGTTCAGGTGAATATCTGGAAGTAACTCACAGGTTACGTGATTATGTCATAAAAAGTATATCGTAGAGGGTTAATTTGGCTTCACCTATTTAAATATTGGAGTTTAGTGTCCAAACGTTCATTTACAGGCCTTAAGTGTTCATTTACTGAAGAGGTCACTCCATAATGAGAGATAAGCTTCAAAGAGGCAGAAAAAATAATTATAACACGGGAGACATTCCTGTCTTCGCGTGTCTGCAATTAAGCAAGTCTTTGTGCGACGTTACATTCCTCCCGAATAAAGCGCTTCTCGTTCCATGAAGCGCAGCATTCGGGCTCACCGCGAGAGATCACATCTCTAACATCTTCCTCTTCACTCACCCGCAAAAATGATTGGAAATTCAGTCGCACCACGAACAATGTTCGCGGGGACAATCGCAGCTCAGCTCATTTATCTATTATTAAAAGTTTTTAACTACCGGCGTCGAGCGGCGACGGTGGCGGCGGCAGTGGACCGCGTTAAGGCGGCAGTGAGGGCGAGAAAGGCAGAAAAACGATGAGAAAGGCATTAAAAAAAAAAGAAGAAGAGGAGAAGGAGAAAGGAGAGAGGAGGGAGAGTGAGAGAGAAAAAGAGAGAGGGACAAGGAGGAGATGAAACTCCTTCTTCGTGGGAGTTTCTTCCGAATACGGCGAACGACCGTAAGAATGGGCTCATTCAGATCAGCATTTCTTAACGAGGAAAGTTGCGGTTACTAACGGGGCTTGTGTACACCGCGACAAACAGGATCTCGAGATTACGGAAACCCGACGACCGCGGGCGTGTTTTGTACAAGCCGGATGAGTAGTGCTGCATTATGCGTAACAATCCGCATTCAGAGCTCACGTAAAGCGCAAAGATCTCGCGTGATAATACGTGAGCGTCAATAGCGCCGCGACGTGTACCTGTTTCGAGAAGCGGCCTCGTTTCTCTCCACGCGCCCACGATCACTCTCCGCGAAAGGCGCGGAACATACACACACATTGCGCGGAAGAATCGCGGCAATAAGTGCATACGCACGTGCCGCAGGACGGAGAATCGAGCGCACACCTGCACCGCAAATCCCCAAGTGTGTTATATTCAAACGCGTAATTCGGTCGAAACGATTTTTACACGTTTTTCGCGGTTTCAAATCACGCCATTTAACACTTTTCAGACGTCTAAATTGTAATTTAACATGTTCGAACGCGCACGTGACTTAAAATGATACTAAAACGCGTAACAAATAATTCAGCCAAAGTAACACACTTGGATTTTCAGTGTGTGTGTGTGTGTGTGTATGCACTCAAACAGACTGATTATCACGACGTGAGGTTTCTATAGAAACTCTAAAATTTTTAAATTATGTTTACATAGCAAATAATTGTATTGAATTAAACTTGCATGGAATAATATAAAATTTTATATTGATACAGAGATAAATTCCGTAATATTTATACTCTGATTTTTATATTATATGCATATTGTTTTGAACAAAGTTTCACCATTTTATCTTTCGTATTTCTATCTCGTCATTCTGTATGGTAAAAATATGAGTGCCATTTGAATCACTCATAAGGGACGGGACCTTTATAAATGGGCCAGTAAAGCTGCTGCAGAATTTACATACATCTGTCTGTCTGTCTGTGCAGACAGACTTTCATGATTATCACGACGTGAGACAATCGAGGCAATGAACACTCCAGAATTTTTTAACCTACATTTATGAGACAAATATACAAGACGCATTGAATTAAATTTACACCAATGAACAAATTTACATCAATAAACAAATGACACCATAACGTAAATCTTTGGTTATATTGATTCAGTGATAAATTTACTAAAAGTTATCCAGATAGACTCTTTTCACGATTATCACAACGTGAGACAATCGATAATAAAAACTTTACAATTTTCTAAATTGCATTTATAAAACAAACACAATGTATTGAATCAGTCATTAAATTTACATCATACAATGACGTAAATTTTCGATTTTGTTGACGCAGCAACAAATTTGTTAAAAGTTCCACTCAGATCTTCATTTTACATGAAATTGTTTGAAATAAATTTTGATAATTTTTCCCGTATTTATATTTTCTTGTTTCTTTGAGATTTCTATTTTAATAATTTTTTTCGCATTTTTACTTCGTCACTTTATATGATAAATATATGATAAATATATGATAAATATATGAAGCTACTGCCAAATTTACGTACACCTATCTACCTGGATACACTCAGATTTTCATATTGCATTTCACGTGAGTTATAGCTTCGAGCAAATTTTGATCAATCTTTCCGCGTATTCCTTTTTCATACTTCCATTTCGCCATTCTGCGTGATAAATGTGAGCCACTTGTAGGACACGCAGCCTTTACAAGTCGACTAATGAAGCTGCTGCCAAATGTACGCGCACCTATCTGGGGATATTCCGAACCCGGGCGTCCTCCGAGCGCGCAAACAATTTGCAAACGCGACGCGCGCACTCGAACGCATTAACGGCCCTTCGTCGCCGAGTGATCGCGTCGGAAACACATACTTTTTGATGGAGACGAGAGAAACGCATAGATACGCCATTCGATCGACAACACACGTATCTTTGTAACTGTAAGAGCCCTTCGACTCAAGCACCCTCGGAAACCGTTTGAAGTCATCGAGGGAGAAAGTCGGGGCGAGTGTAAGCGAGAGAAAGAGAGAGAGAGAGAGACGGAATGAGAGAAGATCGCTGACGTTACGTGTGGACTCTCTCTCTCTCTCTCCCTTTCTCTCAAAGAGTTAGCCGACGGGCTTTTCCAAGCGATGATAGACGAAGGGTATATCGGATATCCTGTACGTCTGTTTCTAACGATAGACAGTAATCGCGCGCCGAAGGGGTTGGCGCGATATCGCGCAGGCAAACGCCAGAGAAAGAACGCCGGAAAGAATAACTTTAGTGCAAGTAAAACAGGAAAATTTTACACAAATTTGTTAAACACAAATTCTCGTACGTATTTATGCACGATAACGCGTTATCACAGAAAAACAGATAGAAAGGACAAAAGGGTGCGTTTCGCTGAGCGCAAGCACTGCCGGTAAACATCTGGAGAATGCTTTCAAATGACGGACAAGTCTGAGTGATGGAGTAAAAGCCATAGTACACAGAAAAAGTTAAGCAGTAAAACGTAAGTAGTAAGCAAATTGACCAATTACAGTCGCTGATTCTTGGATCATAAGAAGAATCATCGACTGTGATTGGTCAATTTGCTTACTGCTTACGTGTAACTGCTTCAATTATTCTGTGTCCTAAGTACCGGTCTGCAATAGATGACTTAAGTCCTTAAGAAATTGATCAATCACAGTCAAATGTAAGAAGAATAATCGACTGTGATTAGTTAATTTCTTAAAGCTTAGAGCTAAAGTCACCCACTGTAGACCGGAACTCAAAGTCCATCTACGACGGGATTGGCAGTAGGCAGTAAGACGTAAGCATTGAACAAATTGACCAACCACAGTCGATTATTACAAGAATAATATGGTTGGCCAAATTGCTTACGTCTTACTGCCTACTGCCAATACCGCTGTAGATGGACCTTAACAGCCCGTGTGAATGGAACGAAAAGCAGCGACGCCAATTGCGCCCCATAACGCTCGACTAGATTTAATAAATAGGCACTTTCGAATTACACGATCGGATTGCTCTTTCCATAACTCTTTACAGCCGCGGCGCCAAATCGCCGATACGTTAACCCCCGGTGTTTCCCCAGGCAGAGCGGGAGATAATACGTACTTTTTCACGAGAGCCCGTGGATTTCCGGGGACATATCGTCGACGATCTTCGAACCACCTTCGGCCGCGCCGCAACTATCGATGAGTCGACGGTGGGTTGGCGCTACCAGTGCGACGTCCATGAAACATTTATCTCACTGCACTTTCGCGCGACGGCCCGTCCGTCGAATTACAAAGTCGCGCGGGGGTAAATCACCGGCGTGCCGCGATCAAATCGTCGCCGGGGAGCTCGCGCGCCGTCTCACCTCCTGGTATTTTTCAATTGTGGGTACGAACGCGACGCGGACGAGAGAGATTAACGCCAACGCGCGTTTCGATCGTGCGACTGCGTTGTCTCTCTATCACTTGGCAGAGAAGACTTGAGACGCATCCGTTCGATTTTCAAACAAGCGCGCGAGAGAACTGTCGCGGAGGAGCCCGCGAGTTTACGAACACTCCGCGAGCTGCTACCGTCAACCGGGATTTATCGTAACGACGAGTCGTGCAGTGGAAGGTGCTGCAATGGCGTAATTTCCCAAGAAGAGACACTTGATGACGTTGAATTTGAAATAGTTCACGGGAGAAGACGCGCGCAGAGAGCACAGTCGGCGAGACCGTCCCGCCAGCCACTTTAATGATGACACATCAGCCGTCACTGTCACTGAGTTCGGCTAATATCTAATGGCACATCCGCTGATATACGTCGGAAATATTTAGATTCTCCGGCCGTCTATTCCCACCCGAATGGAGGAATCTCTCTCTCGGTTTCCGCTGTTCATACCGAGCGACGAGGATTTATCGGCGTAATCATGCGTGCAGTACACGCCGGCGACAACGCGATTATTCGCGGTTTCTGTGATCGGCGACGTACGAGATCGATTCGGAAATATTATACTTCCGGGACAGGCGGTCGCGCGTCGAGCAAACGATCGTCAATGCACGTCATAAATCTACCGAACGATATCTGCGCGTCGCCGGATTTCGTACGAATTCATGCTCGAGTCGAACGGCGGAGGCTCGTTAATCAATGCCGAGCAGGAGAGAAAGAGAGAGAGAGAGAGAAAATGAACGAGTTGCTCTTATCGCGTAAGAATTGCGCGCATCAGATCTCGTTACCGCACGAAAACACGACAGCTTCGAGTTTTCCCCGCAGCTTCGCGGGTAGAAGCGAATAGAAACGGGTAGAAACTCGTTGGTATCGCGAAAACGACGTCCGCATGAAGTCGAAGCAAACGAGGTATGGGAAGTCAATAAGTCGTTGAAATTACCGGCGATTGAGCGGGCTATTTCGCGAGCGATACAGATCCGTGACTTGAGATCGCTTTAGTAACTATCAAAATCCCTCCATTTTCCGGCTGTAAATGTTGTTTGCGCACGACATGATATTCGGACGATAAGATGACGGTAAAATAAGCTGACAAATCCCGTTAAAAAACGATCCCTGCTTTATCGCGTCGCCTGCGACTTCCGCGCATAAAGGTTCGATAGTATTTAAGGGAAAAGGAGAAAAGAGAGGATAAGAGACGGTGCTCGTATGAGCTCTCCCGACGACGTCGATCGCCGAAAACCAGCAAAGGCGAAGAGTCGCGAGAGCACGGCGAGGAGATCGCAATTAACGTCAATACACGGATCTCAGCGCGGCACGTACAAACGCGACGATCGAGACGTTCCGCAATCCGGTGTGGAACGTCCGTCCCGGGAAACTTCGGAATCACGTGGCCCGTGAAGCCTCGCAGTCGTCAGCTTCAAGTCCTCCAATCTTCCTCGTGCAGGTAGTGCGACGTGTAACACGAGAACATACCCGAACCAGCGAACCGATCCCGAACTTCCCTGGCGTCGATGAAGCGACGAGCGACGATCGTTCCAAGGGACAAGAACAGACGAAACAAAAACTCGTGCTGCAACTTGCCCCGACTGATCACGCGCGAACTTACGACAAGACCTCCGAAGACTCGGATCCTCCTCGGCCGAGCGGGAGGAGGCGGAGGTGGTGGCGGCGGCGGCGGCGGCGGAGGCAGTGGGACCGGCGGCAAAGGAGGCAACGGAGCAGGAGGTGGAGGATCGGGAATCGCGCACCTGCGAAACTCGTATACGAGGAACGGAACTCGAGCCCGATGCACGGCGAGGAACTTGCGGAAGTTCGCCTCCACGAGTCGGCGGGCCTGCTTCCGTCGTGGTCGGGCTCGTGGTCTTGGCCGTCGTCCACGGGACGGAACGCGAAGCACCCGCACCACCGCGAACCGAGCACGCAACCGAGACAATCGGCACGACACGCCGAAACGCGGACTCAGCGCGACAACGACATCCCGAGAAGCCCCTTCAGCCACGTCGCGGCTACTGCTGCTGAATGCTGGCTGGTGCTGATGGTGGTGCCGGTGCTACTGCTCCACACCGCGTATATACCGCACGCGGACACGCGCGCTCGACCCTGCGCGAGCGCAATGCCGCGACGATTCCGGCAGTAGGGGGTTGTTTGATGCCTGCCTCCTTCGCAGAAGATACTTTTGCCGCGGCGACGCGCGTCGCATCGCGCCTCGTGGAGGGCGCGTAAGAATTCTCAGTGCAAGATCTGTACCTTGTTAAACGGGAGCAGCGAGTTGATAACGCGAAATAAACAACACCGGGTATCGCGTACTCTTCACTTGAACGCCGCTTTCTAAAGCACAATCGGCGCATTTCTTATTGAGATGCTACGCACGGGGAGAATATTTGTTTTCATGTATCAATTCTTTTCAATTTTGCTGCGCTCTTTTTAATGGTCCAGACATGTCCAAAGAATCCAGAAAATATTCACTGATTATCCATGAAACACTTCTTTCACTGATTTAATCGGAAACATTTTTACTGATTCACTTTAAGAGAGCAAGTACGACTTTCTGATTGTCAAGCTAAAATAATTTTATACGGAACGTTCGTATACGAAAAACAGAACTTGTAACAAAAAAGACATATTTAGCGTTCGACTACGCGTCGAAAATATGGTTCAATTTTATGCACGTCTGACATTCGTTATCGGCACGATTTGCATTCAGCGAATTCACCGTATGGCTGAACAACATTGCTTTCCCTCGTGAATTTTAACTTTAATTTTCGCGCGAATACCGTGCTGCTTTTTTCCCCTTTTTCCTGTTTTCTCCTTAGAAGTCAGGCGACTTCAAATTCATTTCTCATTATGGCGTATCAAATTAGCTTTGCTGAGAAGCGAGGAAGTCCCAAGCGGGAATTGCCGATCGATAGAGGAAGTAAGCAACAAATTTTATTGCGGTCTGCGTAGATAAATACCGTGACATTTGCATTATCTCATTAAGAATCAAAATGTCAGTGCATATGATTGAATGTGAAGTCAAAATCGTATGATTTCCAAAGCCGGATATCCGCTAACGTCAAATAGAACGCGTGACATTTGCACGCGCTAACGATTATCACGCTAAAGTCAATCTTTATTTAAGTTTTTGTTTACTCTTTACGAGTGAAATAATCGTAGTATAAAATAACTATCTAGATAAACGAAAAAAACCGATATTCTACTATCACTTGTATCATCGTTAAATTGACTTCCTGCACTTCTATCTTTAATAATGGCAGCTAGTCTCAACTATGTAAAGTTGAAAGTTAAAAATGTACATAAGAAGAATAGATTAAAATGCTTCAGGATATCAACGTCGACAGTGGTTTTTCCTTTCAAATATATATGCGCGTGTCGACGGAGATGTGGAGGAAAGAGTTGCTGAAATTCTAACCGGCTACTAAATCGTACCTTATCGATTTTTGTATTATTATTGAATACGAACGATATTTAATGATAAAAAAATGAGAAATAAATAAGCTGAGAAATATAAGCAAAAAATTTTCAGATTATATTTTACTTTGTGCGTGCTACAAAAAACAGGTACGATTAAAAAAGTATCGATTGACTTATTTGCTAACAATATTTTTGGTAAGTTATTAGTAATCACTCATAACCCGAATAAATGCTTAAATAATCGGTTATTTTGAGGTAACAATATAACTGCTATACTCATTGAGCACATTACTATCACGGACGAATCCAGAAAAGAAATAATCTAACCCACAGTTTTCACTACAGACTACTGAATAATATCTAGACTACTATCCAACATACTCGGACATAATACACAGATAAGTCCATATCTCGTAAAGGCAAAATGAACATGTACGAGTTGTGAAAAAAAGAACTTAAGACTTAAAGAACGTATAGTACTCACGAAATAGGAGGAAAAGTTCACAGTATTGTGAACTTTGGCTAAGTTGATCAATTAGAACTGAATAGTTTACCTTTCCGAAATATGATTGTTATTTCCATCACCATTTGTATTTCACCTTACTTTCTCGACTGTACAACTACAGATGTTAGCAATCTAGATGTTATACAGAAGTCTGTGATTTTCAGAAACTCGACCGTCAAAGGAACAGATTCGCTGAGCAATATCTATTAATGTTATAAAACGAACTCTCACGGCAGAAGGAGCAGGTGTCCATTAACGTCTGCTGCCCGCTTATTTACGTTCCTGCCGCGGGACCGCGAAAATGATTAACATCAAGCTCCTAGTAAAAGTCAGCACACCCTTCCCCCTCCCTCAGTAATTCCCGTCGGTGTGCAGAAAGCGATTAGATAAACGAAGGCACGGCGGGAAGTGAAGTTGAAGCATAATAACGCAAAGCCGCGACGGCGAGAGGTATCGGTACGGCGAAAGAATTTCGAGAAACGGTAGTCGGTAACGGTAAGTTGTTCGCCGTGTCTAAAACCAGAAAGATCAAACGCATTCACGCAAGCCCGGATTCGTTTGACGTCCACCGTCTGGAAAACGCTTTTGCTACCCCGGGCCGCCGCGGAATCCGCGCCTTGACGTCCCCTCGGAGATCGGCGGCAGGGGTGCTGCAATATCTTCCGACGTAACACACAGAACATGGCGATAGCTGCTGCTACAGCAGCAACAGCAGCAGCAGCATTGTCGGACGCACTCTCGCGGTGCTCGGTTTGCGCACCCCCGCGTCGACGATACCAGCCCGAATCGAGCTCTACTCAGTCGTGAGGAATTCTTTGATACCTACCGACCTTCGAGCCAGGGAGATGTTTCGTTCGTGAGATTCCGCGAGGTATCCCCTGGAAGACGTGTACACGCGCGTGCATACACCGTGCGCCCTGAACGTGCGTTCGCCGCAACCGTGGGTCTTCACTCTAAACGGATCCAATAAGCGCGCAAGTATGCGCCGCGATCCGACTGTAACCAACAAATACCGGAATTACTGTTATTTATTTAACGACGAGAAGGCAGCAACGTCAGAAAGTACAGAGTCGATGCGATCGCGTGTACAGTCCGTTCGTGCGAGTCGGGAATCGTTTCGCCGGTCTTTGCACCAGTACGAGAAACCGCGAATTAGGAATCAGCATTTACAGCGGCCCGTGCGATCCCCGGCTGAACCGCCCGATTACTTATCTTCTTTGCACCGAGAAAAGAGTTTGGTTGCATTAACATGAAGTTTGTGGCTGCAGAAACTTGTAGAATGGACTGCGCGCTCTTACGGGACAACTGAGGACGAGATTGAAGGACAGAGATGTGCTCAAACACTTTCTCTGCCACACAGTACTTCAAATTAATACTCGTATTAATAGCAATTACTCAAAACTTGTTTCACGTAAGACACTCAGATCTGAATTTAGAGTTGAATTCAAGATTTTTATATGAATCATACGATATAGGCAATATTACATTTGCAATCGCGATTCCGCTAAAAAGCTTATATCTAACTACATTCTAATCTGAGTATCTCACTTGACACAAATTTCAAATAACGGCTATCGATACGGATTTAAGGTCTGTATTAATAGTTGTCACTTGAAAATTATCTCGAGTGTGAGTTTCTCAGTTAAAACACGTATTAATAGTTATTACTTGAAACTCGTCTCAAGTGAGATCCTCGAATCTGACTTCGAAGTTAGATGAGAGTTGAATCGTGTATGTTTTACAATATAAATGTCACATATATCATAATTCTAAAAGACTTGGATCTAACTCTGAGTAAAAATCTGAGTACTTCACGTAAGACAAGTTCCAAATGACAACCATTAATATGAGCCTGAACTAAAATATGAATATCCAACTTGAGTAAAAATTTCAAGCAATAACTATTAATATGGGCGATTGAGGACCTAAAAGATCCGTTTGTAATGGAAGAAAGAGAGAATTGCATTAATCATATAAATAAATTTGATGTGGTCGCTTCTTCTCCTTCGTCCTCCCCACTAATTAGATAATTACACAAAGAAAATCTTTCTCTTTATTGGCATCTCTTACTAATACTGCGATGTGTAGTCTAATTCTATATGTTCATGTTTGGTTATAATTAACAAACTAATGTGTTTTGATTGAAAAAAACATTTCTGATTCTTAGAAACAAAATTTGAGTCACAAGAACCCTAGAAATTATTATTATTAATATATGTCCTTTAGTCAAAACGCAATTGGTTCGTTCATTAAAGCCAAATTTCACGTTAATACAATCAAACGTTTTCCCCGTGTGGAGAAAAAAAAGCAAAGACAGACGCGTCAGAACAGACGGGCAAGCGGTAACTTAACTAGCTTAACGGGTTTCTGTTTTTACGTTTTACGGGTCTGTATATATAGAGCGGAGCGTATCTCCATCGACGTGGCATAGCGAGCTCGTAAATAAGCTAAATCGCTCTTGGCTGAAACTTCAGTCGGAAAGAAATTTATTACACAGTAAAGAAGAGCAGAACGCCGCGTGGCTCTTCGTAGAGCAGCGCGATTATCGGCCGGTATCGAAAGCGTCCAGGATCGAAGACGTTGTCGCCCGGCAAGACTTCTGACTTCTCGTATACGAAATGTGCGGGTCTTTCACGGCGGTCAGTGGCACTCTATTTACCCGGGATTCCCTCAACGGCGCTATACTCGGGGAAAGGAATTTGTGTCGTACCCACAGAATGACTCGACACGTAGCGGCCGTTTCGTATACGATGGCGGATTTATTCGCCGTACTAGGGGAATCTCCTCGCTCGCGCGCACGGTAAGTTTAGGTGAACGCGCGCGTCGGGGCAATAAGGCGGATCTAGCCGCAAATTGAGCACCTAAATTCGGCGAGATGTTCCTCGCGCCCGACTGCGTGTAGAAGTATTTAATCTGAAGCCCGGCCGATGTGCAGATGGAGAGCAGACTCTCGCGCAGAGCCTCTCCTTTCCGCCAGAAGCTGCAACTTTCACATCCGCACAAGTGGCGTTCTGTAAGGTACAGAATCTAAATGGCACCAAGATTATGTTACTCATGTGCTCTTTTTTAGAACTTATCTTGAGAGAAACGGTAGGTATAAAATTTTAGAACATAAAT